CCCCCCCCCCCCCCCCTTGTGATGCCACTGCTTTTTTTCACACAGGATTTATACAGAGGGCTAAAACGTTAAGCCTACCTTAAAGAAGAACTTCAATAAAATAATCAGGGAGTACTTACCAACTGGCAATTGTTGAGAGAAAGAAAACACTTTGACCAGGTCAGGAGTATGAAATGCACAGAGAGCAGGAGTATGTAATGAACAATGCAGCATATACTGTATAGCAGCAGAGTTTGGGTGACACTGATTTTTACAACCTGTCCTTATGAAATCCTGCTACTGAGACATGAAGTAATAGGAAATTTCCACAAAGGAACACAGACAGCATTAAAACCGACAGAGGTTTTTACTTTTCTCCATACTGTTATATACTTGCTATATTTACATGCAAGTATTATTGTAATGGGCACAACATAATTAGTGTTTTTATGTTTGTATACATGTTTTGTAGTTCATAAAGCACTTTTAAATGTTTTTTAGGCAATATTAAGTACTTCTAAACATATGGACAAGGCTTTCCCATACAAGTTCCTTCACCCTTGGCTCGGCAAGGGTCTTCTTACAAGGTACTGTGTCAGTTCATTAAACCTCAGTATTTTGATTTAATATTTTAGGATCCCCAATGATATGGCATACTTCAGAAACCCAAGAATCAGATGTACCATAATTCTATATAGTTCCTATAATGCTTTACAATGTACAGTAGGAAGGGCTGCCCAAGGACCCCTGACACTTGGATATCAGATGTGGTCTCATCCCACAGACTTTGACACTCTGGTCCATACTAGTAGCTTGATTGTTCTGTACATCTAATTTATGTGTTATAGAAGACCGACAGTGAGTATTATCTGTTCATAAGAAAGCCTGTTCTATGAACCATTTCTATGAAAACACACGGCTTATGGTGTAACCATGATACGTTTCAGGGTTTGAATGTTTGTTTTCCTTTGTTCCTGTGTGTGGTGACTTGTCTTCATTAGTATATATGAGTTGGGTGGACCTATTTGTGATGCTTTGGAAGCATATTTTATTCTTCTGTATTTAAAAGAAAAAATACAACCTAATCAGGACTTTTAAAGTGTCAAAAATATCAATTTTATTCATTTATACACCAAAAATAATAAACATGTTTTTTTAACACATATAAGATTAGGAACATAATGTATCACATCAAGGAACAAAAACTAATATGAATACCCATCTATTTACAATTTAGCTTATATATTCTGTCAAAGTGTATACTCATTCCAGAGTACGCTGACAATCAGTAGTAGGTGAGTTCTTGATTTGATGCATTTTGCAGAACTAAGTCTGCTTCTACAGACCATATTGGAAGATCTAACAACATGGCGTCATGCAAAGGGCAATCCACTTCCCATGGGAAACTGCAGGGGATAAAAAACAAACTGTATAAGCTGTGATGTGACCGACCAACAACCAGAGAACCTCAGAATAAAATTTATAGGGGTGCAGGATGGAAATATTTAGCTAGGGGAACCCATGCTGAAGGTGCACATGTATCTAGCTACTTCGCTAGGCAGGTTCTTTGGATTTAACTTTCCAGTCATCTTCTAGGTTTATCAGTATTCAGATATTTCCAAATCTCCATCAAAATCCCATGTATGGGTAGGCCACTACTATGCTCCAGATGGTCTGTGGTCAAAAATAAGTGCAAGTAGTACTCCCTATACAGAACAGGTGATCAATACAATCTTCTGTATTTAGAATGTGCTGTCAGTCAGCCGGACAGAGTGGAGGTGGTAGGCACAGACACATAATTTTTCAGGGTATCCGATTCTTGATTGCATACTATTTTCTGTGTGATGTAGCTTCGCCTTCAGAACTCACTGAAAAATTAGAGGAAATCCTGTTTAAAGTGATGATGTGACTTTGCCCATTCAGGGCATAGTGACAAAGTCTTTTAGAAGTCCACCTGCCAATCCACTTATACTCACCTTCACCCAGTTTCCCTATGTGACCCCCTCCCAGCAGGCTGTGCCTCCATGCTGAGCATCATCAACTACTGTATATGTAATGTCTGACGTTATCTGACATGGAGGTTTGACTCCAGGAGGAACCAAAGAAGAACCTAAGGAAAGGTGAGTATAAATGGATGTCTTTAAAGGAAACATGTATACATTGCTAATCTCCATTGCTGTTCACCTTCTGAAATGCTAGTTGCCTGATATCTCTGGCTTCTGATGTGTCCGGAACAAGCATGCAGATCAAGAAAGAGCGGAGTCAGAATTCCTGGTATGCATGTTCAGAGTTAGCAAATCAGAAACTATTGATGCATTTAGATAAGTATGACATATAGGGAACTATGATTTTCAGAAGGAGATGTCAGCAATGGCTTCCTCCATACTCATACCTCACAGCAGGTTTCCTTTAATAACAGAAAGCAATGGCAATTTGTAATAAAATATTGTCCTATTCGACTAATAGAGCCTTTATTTTGTGTGAACAGTGGGGATGTGTGTTATATGTCAGTGCTCCTTTTTATACTAAGGCATGCATTGCTTATACATTGTGCAGATTTCTACTACTGTGTACCCTCAGTATTTATTATTTAAATTCCAATAGTTCCCTGCAAGACACTTACAGTATATAAATTGCATTTACATAATAAACAACTATGAATGTCTACCTATTTTTCCTTACACTAAGTCAATTATGAATAGCAGGTTTCTGCACTTTGCATTTATACTTATGCTTTTACAATTAGGTTACATTAGCTCAGCTGGATCCTCTTGGGGCTCACGCTTGGTGATAAGCCTTTAGCAGACACATTAAAAGTATTTATTTATTATGTACATCATCTTCATACTGGTCTGCATGGCTGAGTTAATTTATAAGAGGCTGCTCAGTGTGAAGATAAAATGATTTAAATGTTCACTGCTTGACCGCTACATAATTTATGATGCTTTTACAGTCTCAGGACTCGCTTGCTGTAATCACCTAGCAATGCTTTACCAAGACTATCTGTACTGTCCATTTACAGCTCTTTTGCATAGACCCACTGCACCATGTTACGATTTAGCTGCAGATGTTACCCTGATTAAAAGCATATACTCTATTTTTGATTTAATTTTTAATTTGCAGAATGTACTAAAGTTGTAGATTCAGTATATACACCACTCAAAAGATGTACTATTAGAATACACTGATTAGTTAAATATACATATTGTTCTTTTACTTATAATTACCGTTTCCACTTCCTGGTCCTCTAAGGCATTAGTGATGCATCCTGTGCCTAAGAGATGCATCCTGGGAAGGTTACATTACACTGCATTGCTGGGAAATCTCATCTGTAAATTGCATAATCTCGCAAGATTTCAAGGGAAAGGCAATGTTTGCCCTTTAGATGATATGCATGGTCACATGTCCTAGTAACATGTGTCAGAATTCCAAGAAGTAAAGAGAGAACTAGGAATCTGCCCTTAGTTAAAATGGCCACCATTAGAAGAATAGGGAAGAAAAGAAAAATAAGGTATGCAAACAATAAAAAGACGGCAATTATCTAGAAGTATGTGTTTGTAGATTGTCATTACTATACATTTCTAAAGGTGACTTTGTTGTCATTTAAACCACTTAAAGAATGGGGTGTTGAACCCCCTTCCTGTCCAGGCAATTTTTCAGTATTCAGCGCAGAGGTACTTTGACTGACATTTATTCAGTCATGCAATGCCGTACCAAAATACATTTTAGATAGAGCTTTCTTTTGATGGCATTTAATCACCACTGGGTTGTTTTTTATTTTTTTTATCATTAAAAACAAATATTGAAGATTTTGAAAAAAAAAACGCCTGATTTCCCTTTGTGAAACATTTATTATTACAAATTTTTACAAAAGCAATGTGTATGCCTATAAAATTGCTAAAAACTACCATATCCAAAATTGCCCATAGGCCCATAGGCGGTGCTATAAAAGCTTTTACCTTCCATCAGTTAAGTGTTAACAGTGGTGCCGATGGCCGCCGGCATGTTCAGCCTCTCATCCCTGTCTGGAGCCGCTCCAGGCAGGGATCGTTGACTCCATGGATCCACGCTGCTCTCCCCCGCTTGTAGGGGATGTGGCAGCGGTGATCCGAATCGAAATGTTCGGCGGGGGGGCGTATGACCTAGTGGCGGCTGGCGGAGAGGAGGAGAGAAGCCCCAGCTTTCAGGATGGCCGAGCGGTGAGGAGATCAGAGCCGCTGTCATCCTGTCAGTTTCCGGATGACAGCGGCTCTGTGCGTGGATCGGTAAATATCAATGATATTTAGCGGTCCTCTGTGTGCAGAGCTGGGGACACATAGTACTCTGTGTGCAAATAACTGAGGACACATAATACTATGTTTCCCCAGTTATGAATGAACTGAGTGCCTCCCATTCATTGAGTGCTGAGGCTGCAGAAAAATAAATTGAGGGCTCTGTCCTCAATTTCTTTTTCTATTTCAAAAGGGAAATGTCAGGGGTCTGTTTAGACCCTGTATATTTCCCCCGTATCCCCCCCCCCCACAACAG